ACCGCTGAACCACTCAGCAGCTTCAGCTGTCAAGATCTTCCCGTCTTCCGGAGAAACCCCGGCCAATTGGCAGCTGGCATGGTAACGTGTGGACCAGCGAATCTGATTCGCCACATCCTGAAGCAGAATTGGACCAACAACTTCAAGAAAACAACAACAACAACAAAACAAACAGGAACCACAACCACAACTCTTAGCAACAACAACAACAACAACTCCAAGCTGAAACCGGTGTGAAAGAAATAGGGGCCCGGCCGCTATACCACGATTGGATGGTTCTGGAGAAGCTCGAATCGTTGCTTTGAAGCATCCTTATAGTAGGAAGGAAGACTCTGCAGGTGCCACTGAATTATGTCTATTGATTGCTGCGGCTGAAAACCTTCATGAACACTTTAAGGCTATTACTAATGGAACTCCATGCACTGAAGATCTTCTTCCCAAAGAAGTACCCACTCTTGAGATCCTTCGTCTTGGTGTTCGGCCGAGTTCGAACCTGAACAAACTGCAAAGCCGAAGGAATCAATCTTAACATATCTTGAAACAAAATCGAAAAATAGCTGAGAACGTGGCCACTTCGAGGTTCAGCTTGCCAGTTTTCTCCAACTTGGGGCGCCATTCGGTGAGAGACACAGACCTGTTAGTGCTACCTTTCACAGTAGCCACCGATGGCCAAGCACCACCTTCAGATTTCTTCCAGCAAACATCTCTCTTACTGATATTGCTTTCACAAGGCTGATCCACAGGCTTCTTGCGAGGTCGGCGGGTAGCCTGAGCACGTGGACTTTGCCATCGACAATGGACAGGTTGGAACTCTTGGTCTGAGAAAGAGGCACCAACAGTGACTGCTTTGCGTTTTGGGATCGCCTGGAGAAAAATGCATGCGAATTCAAAAATGGATCTGTCTTAAAAAATCAACTGGCAATTTGCGCACCTTCTTCGCCTTGTTCCTCTTTGTTTTCCCCTCAATGATGTCACATGGTTACTGAATCCGGGCACAAACTATGAAATTGATTTTGTGGCAACACATATATCAAGGCCCAAACCGATCCCTTTGCCTTTTTCTGATTCTGCTTCTCCACCACCTCCCAAAAAACAAAGGCATTCCGAGCAAGTCAGAATAGCAAACAACATACCAAGTCTCAATTTGACAGCCCACTTTGAAAAATACCGGCCTCCATCAAAGATCGCTTCTTTGGAACGGGGTCAAGGACTAACGTCTCCCTTGCATCACTCAACTGCTAAACACAAATTGAAGAAAGGGTATGTGGCATCTGAAAATAAATCTGGGACGTCGGCTCATCGCTCGTCAGCTCGTCGACCGTGGTGTTCACAGGCATGGCCACGATCCCAAACGATCCCAAAAAAGCTACGGTCAAAGCGTGTGAGAACGTCAGAACGCTGTGAGAATGCTGTGAAATGTCACATTGACAATTGAAACTGACTAAATTGAGAAAGGCCGCGTGGTATCGTGCCTTCTTGGAATCTGCAATGCAAAGCGGTGGTCGCCATCACCACCTAACATCATCAAAGCATCATCCAGCCAAATGTTGGTAACCTCTGGCAATGAAAATGACTGCGCTGACTGGAAAAAATGTGCAATCAATTGTGAGCCCCACTGGCCTCGACCAAGTCAGCATGCCCGATGTTGCCCGGGCTTGCTAGCGATAACTAAAAAATGGTCGCGCTTCTGATTCAACTGGATTGTTTCTTCTGAAGGATGGCACCCCGTCCATGCCACTTGCTGCACTTGACTAACATCTGTCAACAAAACGTCTGATCGCTAACATGTGTTAACACGTCTGTCAACAAGCACAGACGGCCCCCATGGCCCAACCAGGCCACTTGCTTCAGAATGTCTGCCCATTGGAAGTGCCATGGGATAGGCAATGAGCAAATTTCTCTGGAGCACGGTGTGAAAAATAGAGAACGTGTCGTGTATCACTTACATATGTTCTAACATAATATTATGATGTAATCAATGTCCCCAGTGCATTATAATTATAATATCGTTGCTTCATCTAAAGAATATCATTACTTTATGTTCACACCTTCAAGTTTTTTCCTGATTGTCCGCAAGCATGAAATCACACAGGCATTGGAACACCAAATCATTTGGGAACACCAATTCCAATGAAATAACCTTAGAAGCAGAAGACAAGCAAGGGCGTTTAAGAGCGAAGAGGCTGCAAACGTCTCCGCCACGCATCGCATCAACGATGACAAACGATCCCACGACAGAGGTAGACGCAAGTGGTGAAGGCAAGATCACCATCTAAGACTCCGGATATGCGAGTTCGAAAAGTTCGACAGCATGTCGTCATTGATACAAGCGATCCTATGTTTGCGCAGCGAATTGTGTAAGAGTCACAAAAAAAAGCTCGGTACCAACATGCCGTGAACAACGCGTATGATCTCATTCTTGTACGGAAAATTGCACGAAATTCTTCAAACAAGCTTGGTGCCAAAATGCCCTCAAAGGCAGAGACCATGCATTTTTATCTGGAAATCTCCACAAGTATAGAAGCTCGGCGCCACGAGGTTTCTGAAAATAACATCTAACACTCTCTCAAGCCGAAAATCGTCGCCAGAGCTTGCAAAAAAACGCTCGGTTAACATGCCGTGAACAACGCGTATGATCTCATACGAAAATTACCATGTAAGTCTGCGAAAGAAGCTCCATACCAAAATGCCCGGAAAGGCAAACACTAAGACCATTTCATATGAAAATATCCATATATCTATATATTCATACAAAAGCTCGGTACCGCAATGCTTTTGTAAATGGCATCCAACATTCTCTCAAGCTGACACGCCGTCAAGAAGGCATATATAATCACAATGTTGTATGAACAGTTTCCACAAAAATAGTGAAAAAACCTTGGTACCGACGCGTCGTCAAAGGCAAATACTGCGTTGCTTTTATAAAACATTCTCACATACGACGAACAATCATTGCAAGTGCAAGTTCTCACGCAACTTTACACCATGGAAGCACAGAAAGGAAGTTTTTCAAAACGAGCGTTTTCCACGAGACATTCGCAAAAAGTGACAATGAAAGCTTCCAAAACAAGCGTTTTCCACGAGACATTCGCAAAAAGTGAGAATTATGTAGACTCCCAAAACGAGCGTTTTCCACGAGACATTCGCAAAAAGTGAAAATGATGTATAGACTTAGAAAACGAGCGTTTTGCACGAGACATTTGCAAACAAGTGAGAGTGACTGTAGACTTCCAAAACGTTTTCCACGAGACTTTCGCGACAAGTGAGAATGAAGGCTTCCAAAACGAGCGTTTTCCACGAGACATTCGCAACAAGTGAGAATGAAACCTTCACAATCGAGTATTTTCCACGAGACTCAAAAACTGGAAAACTTTACCCGCATTCTGCGCCACAAAAATATGAATAAAAGCCATTGGCGCGCGTAACCTTCCAAGCATACAAAAACGCGATCTCACCTGCATTGTGCACCCTCGACACGCACGATCTCCGCAGAGGGTTGCGCGTGCCAAATCCAAAACGCAATCTCACCTGCGTTTCACGCCCTCGACACGCGCGATCTCCGCAGAAGGTTGCGCGGGACAAATCCAAAACGCAATCTCACCGTCTCTCATTTGCATTTCGCACCCTCAACACGCACGATCTCCGCAGAGGGTTGCGCGGGCCAAATCCAAAACGCAATCTCACCTGCATTTCGCGCCCTCGACACGCGCGATCTCCGCAGAGGGTTGCGCTGGGACGGGCAAAAACGTAATCTCACCTGTTGCGTTTCGTGGTGCTCCGGCGGCACCGCCCCCGCCTTAAGAGAGAAAGAAAAGAAGAGCGACAGGTGCAGATGTGAAGATGTGAAGATGAGTAGAGATGTGTGTATGCAGGTGTGAAGATGAGCAGAGATGTAGATGTGCAAATGTAGACGTGCAGATGTGAAGATGTAGATGAGACGTAGTTCTACAGATGCTTTTTACAAAAAAGATCAAAAAAAGCCCTTCGCAGACGCTCTCGGGAAAAAGCCGAAGATGTTCGACATCGCGGACCGTACGTCATTGACCCCCCCACCCCGCACGCCCAATGAACACCAGTCCCAAAGGTCCAAGATGCACCTTAAAGCATGTCCAGAGTCTTGATGAGAGCTCAGCATGAAAAATTAGATGTAGAACACCATATTTAACATTCCCGAAAAAGTAGCGTAAACATCGGAGACACAAACTAATTTATCTAATTTCAGCAAAAAATGCACAAAGGCAACATAAACATATAAGATCTTGCCACGGAGGAAACATGAGAAAACACTGCTATTTACAGTAAAAATGAAAGGTTCTGACTTTGACGCAACGTGTGACAACAAGATCATTGCTTTGATAAAACGTGCACGACTACTAGCGCGGTTCTCAGCCCGCTAGCCAAAACATGTCCAAAACACCAGCAAAGCACCACCGAGACACAAGCCAAAACATGACC